AATCCTCCTTTTTTTTTTCTTTTTTTTTTCAAATTTCTCTCTTTAGCCCAGCCGCAACAAAGGGAGGGCATGCATGATCCATCAAGCGGCAAGAGGAAGGAAGAAAAGAAGAGAGGGCGGTAGGGTGACACAGACATACAGCTGGGGGGAGGAGCTGCGCGAGATCGAGGTTGGGCTGTTTAGGCTTAAAGCACACTGTCGCTGAGTAGACCAAAGAAAGAACATGTGACATCCTGCCAGATATGCAGCAGTAGCTGTAGCAGTCTGAGCAGTAGCTATACTATAACATATTTTACATATATATATATATATATATAAATACATATATAATAAACATATAAAATGACAAATGTCACAAACAATATGCTTTATATGAAACTTGCTGAGATTCAGAAAATACTTAGCAGGTATTGCCTCGTCTTCTACCACACCAAAATTCAGTTTCAGAAGAGGTGAGAAACTCAAAGTTACCGGAAACAGCTTCTTTCATATCTGTGTGAAGGAATAAATGTGATGCAAAGCATCTGAAGTTATAAAAGCATAAAATAATTACAAAAAATAATAATAATATAGATTTTTTGCATTTTTCTTGTGAACATCCAGAAACAGTGAAGGTAATTCTTATTAGAATTAGATGCAAATAAAATCAAGAAGACTGTAAGAAATAATAATGCTACATTTTAGGTTGCTCAGAGCAACACAAGAACAACATGGCACACATTGTAAAAATAAATGTCTCCAGATCTGCTGGAATTCACTCTTCACACACATATCCTTTGTAGTATAATATCCCTATCTCCATTCAATGTTTGGGAAGTCCTAAAGTCCCTATCTGCACCATTTTTCCTATGTGACAAAACAGTGCCAAACGCAAACCAAGAAATAAAGACAATAGTGTAGGTAAAGAAATAACATGGGAATAATTAACATAAATTCATGACATTGCTGAGCTGAATTAACACCACTCTCAGGTTCAACATTTTTGCCAGACAGCCCTTCATTGTATATCTTTTTTTTTTAAATTTTTGCCAGAATCCCCTGCGTTGGACAGATTGATTCAAGTGAATGGGAGAGCAGCATTTTCTCACCTAAGGCTAGAGTCAATCACAACATGGCCTAAGCCTTAGCTCAACACTCAGGGTGATTATAGATGTGGCAGATGCACCACATGCGCCAACACACTTTATAAAGGATAATTCCACTATCCACAAATTTCCATCAAAGACTTCAGTAAGCGAAAGTATATTTACATAGCCTTCTAATCTTCTAAGATGGCTCTAAAACCTGTGGCTATGTGCTCTGTTCATTAGGTTAGCTGTAGTTGTGTTATTCTGCATACACTGTATCTCCACATTGGTTACAATAGCAGCTGGGCTCCTGGGTTCTTAATAATGCATTACTTAGCGGGCTCGCATTAATGTCCAGCATTCTTAATAAACTGTGTGCTCCATACAGGGCCAGGATTAATTAAATATGAATAGCTCAGTTTTTTTCATTCAGCATCTTTTGGTTGTGTAAACATGCAATGTATGAAGTGTGGGCTTTTCATAGGGTAGTGAAAAACATCTAGTTCAGTATTTTTATTTAATTTTTCCCTTCTCGATATTCTTTTTCCAACTGCTAATTTTTGTGCTTCATAAAGAAATGGAATTATGATGTTTGTCTAATTAACACACTGATTTATACTTTATTATATTACTGTATCATATTAAACATACATATTGTTCATTCACACATGAATTAAGGTAGTCTCTTGTTTAAGTACTAGGCTTTTCATATCTTTTTAACATCCTGATGAAGCACGTTGATCATGCAAATCTTCTCGACCATATACATTTACAGGCTGAGTGTTAGTTTTGTTAATCATCCCAGTTAGTCTCTATAGCTGCTTTCACACATGAACTTTGACCCTGAACTTTCCAGAAATTACCTGGAGGATGTGTGCGCAAATGTACAAGTCAGCTGAACAGGACACTGAACTGACTGTACCCTGCCTGTTCCCCAGTGCAAAGTCCATGTAATGTCCGAGTGAGCCGATGAGTGAATAGAGCGGGTTAATGTCCAGATAAATAACAGCGAGCCAGTGGTCATGTTGATGACGTTTTTATCATTATTCCTGCATGCTTTACACAGCCGCCACCCCTCGTCGAGTATTTCAAGTAGTTGAGAAAGTGTCTGACATGGATGAGATCGCAAGTTGTGCGCTGCATGTGTGAGAAGGCAATTCTGGACAGTGTACATAGTTCATATCTGAAAACGGCTTCTGTCTATACTTTCACATTCCCACCAGACTCCCATACAGACAAACCTAAACAGAGTCACAGTTGAACTCCGGTCTTTCCTGTAGTAACAGGATGCACTGTAACACCTTGATCAGACATATGTTGGCAGAGGTCCATTAAAAAAAAGCCATAAAAAACAATGCTGCTAACATAATCTGCCACATCTGATTCACAGGAGTGTAATTTACTTTAAACAGAGTTCTCTGTTTATTTAAGAAGTTCAGGGACCTGCAGGCTTCTGCTTTCCTCTATTTGCCAAAAGAGTTCAAGGTAACTTTGCCATATTCTTTTCCAAAATTAATTCATTTCAGAGAAAAAAAATTAAAAGAGGCAAGAGAAAATCCCACAGACATTCACAGTAATGAAAACTACAAAAAAGTACAGCCGTGAAGGCCTTAAAAGTACGAAGACTATTTCCATGACCGAAGGGAAATTCTTTCTGCTGGAACAGTTGTGTTAAACAGTCAGGATCCTTGAGAGTTGCCCTTAGGGTGAGAAGTTTACAGTCACTTTGAAGTAAAGCTGCAAGCCTCTCATCCATTCTAATTGCTATGTGGCTTCCTTGAGAGTGCCATTGTCTGTTTCTATTGTTGTAAATGCATTTATCTGTTGAAATGTAACTGCAGTTCATTTAAATAGTTGAATGGAAATATAGCTAGACTCAATGGGTAAATTCCACTGATGTCTGTGATTAGTTAATTAAATTCAATTAATTACTTAATTAATTAATGAATTAATGACTCAATTTATTAATTCCCTTGGGAAAAAAAACATAATATCTGATGGATTCTAACTAAAGCTGAAACAATTAACTGATTAACTGAATAGTTGATTGACAGAAAATTAATTGTAACTATTTTATGTATATATATACTATTATATATATATATATATATAATATATATGATATAGTATATATATATAATTAATTGTGAGGTCAAATTCCAAGCAAAAAAGGCAAGTATTACCTTGTTACACCTCTTAGATGTGAGAAACTGCTGCTTTTCTTTGTCTTACAGTATATGACAGTTAATTGAATATCTTTGGGTTTTGGAATGCTGCTCTGAAAATGTTGTCTTGGGTTTTCAGAAAACTGTGATTGGAAGATTAATAAAAAATGAAAATAATCTTTAGTTACAGCCTTAATCCTAACTAATGAGGGGCAGTGGAGATGCCCTGGTCTAGTGGATATTGCTGCCAAACATACAGTACTATAACACAGACACACCAACATACACAACATACACATAACATCAAGTGAATGTTTGCACCTGTTATATATATATATATATATATGTATGTCTGTTTTTTACATAAAGGAAGGGCAATGTGTGTACCACATCAACATGCTAGCTGCAAAATGGAACACTGACTGGGTACACAACCCACTCCAATGAGGCAAACAAAGCAATGGGCCATGAACTGTGCACTCAATCTGCTTCTTTGCAGGATAACCGTAAAATTAAAAAGACTCTAAGATTGACTTACTTGTTCACCAATATGTGAGGTCCAAGCACAAAGCTCTCCAAGCAGCCTTGTAAGGAACAGCTACCCAGGATATAATTAGGCTTTACACTGTCTTTCTGGTCTGCTACTCTGATATGGGTTGGCTCCTACCTATGTGTCTTTCAATTTTGCCTTGTTTCTTGTTTTACATCTTTTCTTAATGCCTTTACTTGGCTTGGCTTACCAAATAACTAAGTCGTTGTAGTCCCCAAACCCAAAAGTCTGAAAGAACAGTGTGTAATATCATCGTTAATGTTGGCATAATGTCAACTTTAGAAGGAAGCAAACACTAACTTTATTTCCGTGACTGGGGTCTTTTAGGTACAGCTGCTTATCTAAATATTTGAACGTGAGAAACCGTCTAGGTCTCTCCTTCACACTCGCTGGTTCAATTAAGATGAAGTAACCGATCTATGTTGCATTGTATTGGGTTAACTGAGAACGATGTTGATGTGGCCTGGTTGTACAGGCGCGTTGCAACTGTCTGATTAGCACAACACATCTCCACATTCTGTGGATAGAGTAATGTTTTTTTTGGTAAGGTTTTCGACAAATGGTGACAAACTAACGTTGTAATATAATGTTAAGCAAGACAGTGTGCATTATTTAGCACTTGGGTAGTTAGCTAGCTATAACTAAATGTAATATAACTAATGTATTTTAATATACATGTAAACAAATTCCCTCGTAATTCGGTGGCTACAACACAAAGGCATCTTTTTGTGCGGCCAGAAAAGTTTGTTAGTTAAAAATTCATTTTGCGACCAGTTTGATCCAAATTCCATCCCTGAAATTCAAGTTAAGTGTGAGCAATTTCAGACAAGCACAGCGAGACAGCATCACGCCGACTTAATTTTTCTTATTTTGGCATTTTTAATCGCTGTGTCAAAATGAACGTTATCCACAGTCGAACAAAGCTCCGACTTTAGCTAAAATTACAATGTTATGCTAGGATCTACTATCCTGTTAACAAGCAAGCACACGGATTAATACCTTTGTTAATACCATCATATCATCATTGCTAGAGTTTGGGACACGTTGCCCAGGTCCCCCTCACACACACACTGACTGAAATGTCTCGCAGCGTTGTGAAGTTAGCTAACGTTAGCCGGTGACTGCCAACCAAAACAGTCAAGTTAGCCCAAGTTCTCAGCCACTCTTTGGTGGTCATTATACAAAAACTGTTGCGGATTCCCACGTAATAACTGTTACCTTGAATTATCCAGAGACGCTGTGCTCTATGATGAAACCATCGATGGTTACATCCACCTCTTTCTCCTCTGCTTTGGGTTTACAATCGTTATCAGTCCACTTCTAGGGCATCTGGGGGCTCACACTATAGCGATGAGCACCGTCAAGTATTAGGAGGACCGCCGGATGTACGTGCTTTGGATCTTCATAATAAAACCAAAAATGGAAAATGCTACATTTGCTAGCATAAGCATTAGTAATTTTACAGACTCAGGTTTTACATACAAGACATACTACAAAAAATAAAAAATAAAATAAAAAATGCACAGTTGATAAAACACTGCACAGTATAAAGAAAATTACCCCTGGTAGTTACAGTTATTAACATGCTAGGTTAACAATACAATACAATACAATACAAAATATATAATAGGCTGTAATATATATAACAATAAGGTAAGACTCTACAAGGGGCCATTCTGCAGAACAACTACTGTTGGATATTTTAAGTAAATTTCTTTCAAACTTCTATTTTTTCAGTTATAAGTAACAGTTTGAATGTTAGACTTGTACTTGCCCTAGAGTATATTTCTAATGCCATATATCAACTTGTACTAAAGAATAGGGTAGGCTATGAATATTGCTCTATTACTGCCACCAAGCAAGTGTAAATCAGTCTCTGAGCACATATGTGGATCTAAACGCCAGAGCTCTTGGGCATGTAACCTGAGAACCCAAATTGAGGCCCACTGAGATAGCAAAGCGATTTCAAGTTGTCATCTCTCTAGAACTGTAACTTAAGAACCAAAACGAGCAACTGTACAAATTAATAGCAGAAGTACAGAGTAAATACAATTCTTCCTTGTTCAGATAATTACATATTGGAAGTTTGGTAATGTAGAATCGTCAATCAAGCTCTTATTTTCTTGAACACTAAACGGAAGTGGTATTGCCGTATCTTGGCAAACTTAATGCTCCTTTAGGCCCGCGCTCAGCTACGTCATGAAACCTGGCAACAACGCCGAATATAAGGGAAATCCGCATTCCCATTCAAGTGAATAGCAAATGTGAGCTCAGACTCTTGGACCTCACTGTATATGAGCAAATCACTATATTTACACTTTCATGCTGGACAGATTTGTAAATAAGTATCTAATGTTAAGTACTGTTAATAGATGTTAGCTGTGGCTACAATATTATTTTATGTAAAAGTAAATGCTCTCAATTTTTGAGTGTTATAAATTGAGTTATGTGTTTATTGCAGTGTAACTGGGTATGGTCTGAACATATGAACATGTGATGTAGTGTGTCTGAAAACAATCCTGCCAGAAGGTTATACTGATTTGACCTTGAAGAAAATGTATTATTACTTTCATTCTGAATACGACCTCAGTCTGTCACAGAGGAACAAATAAATTAAGGCTAAAGAGAGTATCACAGCAGCACCAGTGCAGAGCAGTGTAACCACACAGCAGTGGTAGAAGTGGCAGGGTTATGTCTCAGCTGCAGCCCCCAGAATGCCTACTGCTATTTTATAACTGTGCTGCATTGCAGGGCTATTTCCCCCCCACAACCAGGACTGGGGTTGCATAAGAACTGACGGCATCATGGTGGTTTGGAGGAGTCCTGAGAGGGAGCTGGATGGAGAAGGTTTGGGATTTGGGTTGGGATTTGCCTGAAGAAAAAAAGAAAAGTTAGGAAAGAATTAACAGAAAGTTTGTAGAAGGATTGTGGGCTGAAGAAAGAAAGAAAGAAAGAAAGAAAGAAAGAAAGAAAGAAAGAAAGAAAGAAAGAAAGAAAGAAAGAAAGAGGGAAAGGATCAGATAAGAGAGTGTTGACAAATCACTTGTTAGGTGTGTGGAGGATGAACAGAGATGGGGTAAGAGGGGGGAGTGGCCTGGGGGATGAGTCACTGTCAAAGAAAGAGAGAGGGAGAGAGAGAGAGAGAGTGTGAGTGTGTGTGTGTGTGTGTGTGTGTGTGTGTGTGACGCAGTAGGACGTGTACAGACACTGCAATGCACTTACTTTACCTCCCCCTCTGTTCTCTCCTCCTTCCACTCAACCCTGAGATATCACAAAAGACTGCTATTTATGTTTGTGTGTGTGTGTGTGTGTGTGTGTGTGTGTGTGTGTGCGTGTGCGTGTGCGTGTGTGTGCGTGCGTGCGTGCGTGTGTGTGTGTGTGTGCGTGTGCATGTGCATGTGTGCGTGCGTGTGTGCATGTGCATGTGTGTGTTAAGTGAAGGGATACTCTTGGCCTGGGCCACAGCTTTTAACAGTGAGTTTGCACCGCAGGACTGCTGTTGGCTGTCTCTGGCTGTACACTTACAAAAACATCATACACCATAGATTCCCTCGATATAGCAGATGACCTGATTAAATTTTATTATATAATACTGTATAAAATAATTGTTTTTTTAAAATTTATCTTGAAACAAATATAACTCCCTGATTCTTTAATAAAACCAATTTATATTACAGTACTAGCATTCCTGTAGTATCCCTCCTGAGGACAAATGCATTAGGCTACTACCTGATTAATACCCTCACAGGCATAACCATGTATGTGATGGTAGTCATGACAGGTATGTATAATTAGTTTCTTACATTCTGCTGTAGTTCACTGCTGGTTTTTCCAATTTCATGTCCTGATACATATATAGTACATATTCTTAGTGTGAGGGAATATTCTGTATGTCCACAGTGAGTGAATGACTCAGGGTGAAAGGTCAGTATAAGGCCCTAGGTCACAGTGCCACAGCTATTGCATTAAATCTTACAGGAGGAGATGCTCAGGCGCTCCAGACACAGCTGTGGTTTTATGCTGATATTGCTGGTGCCATGATTGATAACAGAAGACCTTGGATGATCAGTAACAAGGCTTGGTGTTCTGGGATCAGCACCTGTGTGTGTGTGTGTAAATCATGTTTCCTTGTTTATGGCTAATGGACCAATAGAATGTTCACACATCCCTCTTCTCCCTCTTCTATATATGGGGTGTAAGCTATCTATTGTAATCTTTGGAACTGCATAAAGACCAGCCACAGGGTTTCTTTTTTTCAGAATTGAGGTGACATCATGCACAGAAATGTGTATTGATAATTCCTCCTTTCTCTTTGATCAAGCTTCAATAAACATCTTCAGCGTAAGACATCCTGGGCTCCAGCGCTCTTTCTTCACTGAAATACCTCGACCCCCGATGATAAGATTTCTCCCTAACACTTAGTGTTGCTGTGATGAGGTGAAATATTAATTTCCCTTCCTGGACAATTCAGTTTTTGTTTATTTGATACTCGGTGTAAGCTAGTACTTGATTGCATTGTGCTGTACTGTCCTTCATGAGCTTATTCCTTCCACCTGTTCTACCCTGCAAATGTGAAAGTGTAAAATTCTCTTGATGTAATCGCGATGTAATCTACATGAATGAAGCATGACCCTCCCTTCTGGCAACATCCATGGCATCCGTTTTATAGCAGCTGTGGAGGGATAGAGAAGGAACTGATACATTTTGATGCACTAAAAGAGAAAACGTATCCAGGGGGCTTCGCTGCACTGAATGGGATGCACTCCACTGCAGTCACAGTATCTGGTTTGCTCTTCCTAGTTGGTAGTCTGTATATGGGAAAATGCAGCAAGTCCAACCAGAGTTTAGAAAATTCCACACACTTAACATGTGTCAAAGCTTGGATAGCTTATATGATCACTGTAAGTAATGCTAAAAAACAAACAAAAAAGATGATGTATTATATGATATATAGGCCATAAAACTCATGTGATTCAATATGAGGATATTTCATGTCAATGTCAGGGATAAAAAACATGAATTAAAAATGTGTAAATGTGGACATTTGAATACGTTACAATGATTTTACATAACCATTGAACATAGAGCAATATCTGCTGTAAAAATGATGTGGGAGTAAGTAAAAGAGAAGAAGAAAGAGGGCTGGCTTGAAAATGTGTGACATGCGTGCACGAAACTCAAGAGTTTACAACTTGTGACTGTCATGTGGTTTTGGCTTTGTGCAGAAGCAGAATGAGAGCTGCCATTCAGGTCATGCTTCCTCTTTTATAGTCCACATCATGTTATAGTGAGTTTTTGGTTTTCTGCCAATTTAATTTAATCTATCCTGTTGTGAAGTTCCTCTAGTGAAAGATTTTCTTCTGGTGCTGACTGAGTGATGATTGAGTAGCTGAGTTATAAAACCCTGAACTCACTCTCAAAATTGAAAAAAAAAATTTCCTTTTCTGATAAGGCTCCAAAATGACTTCTCTCAGTGTTTACTTGTTCTTTCCACTACAATGATAAAAACTCCAATGTCAATTTTTAACCCAAATAGAATAAGCTACATCAAATACCTAATGTTACCATGTGCCATTAATCCCAAGTATAAATGCAAACTCTTCAGCAGATCTCAGCACCCCTCCCTGCTGTATAATCATGCTCATGTGATGCAGGATAACCACAAGGCATCTCTCTTTCTTCTTCTCTCACACACACACACACACACACACACACACACACACACACACACACACACACGCACGCACGCACGCACGCACACACACACACACACACACACACACACACACACACAGAGCATGGATAAAAAATACCCCAGTTGTAGTGTTTTTCACTCAGCCAGGTTAAGGTGCAGAGAGCATCTCATTACTGCAGTTGTGTGCGATAACAAGCAGGATTTCCCCTGGCTGAAGCTGAGTAACTACAAACCAACACAGTAGATAAAGAAAATCCTATCCGGACACACAGATTATCAATTGCTACCGCTCAGCATCACCTTATCTCACCTCCTTTTAATGGTCTGTCCATTTCTCTTTCTTTGCTCACCTCTTTTTTAACACATTCCTGCTGCATCACTGATGAAGACAAAACGAAGGGGGCGACTCATTGGAAAGATCTGCCAATACAAGAGGTCCACATAATCTGTTTGTCTTTCTTTTTCAAAGGAGAATTGGTGACTTTGTTTCTTTTCTTTCTTTTTCAGCATCTTATTCACCAAGATAAACATCAGGAGGAGCAATCAGGTTATGCTGGCTGACATTCAGCGATGCTACAGTAGATGATAATGGGACAGTGTGTATATTATATCTCTTCTGCTGA